TTTAACACAAGATTGCCTTACATGGCTATAGGGATAAGGTACAAGGCGGATGTCCCTGGAGACAGGAAACTTCTTTGCCGCTGTGTCAGCATTCTGTTCTCCAAGGGGCCCTGGCTAAACCTGAGGGGTTTACTACATGTGACTGACCAGAGAGTCTGAGACAGAGGGACTGTGATTGGCCATTAATTAAAAACAACCACATGAGACCAATCCCAGATCCACCTGTTGCATTCCACAGCAGCAGATAATCATTGTTTCCATTTTATTCCTGAGGCCTCTCAGCTTCTCAGGAGAAAAAAATCTTAGCAAAAGAATTTTTCATACAACATGTCTGTGACACCCCCTTTGTTTTACCCGTGCAGCTCGTGAGTCGTGGCGCCAGAGCAACTCGTGGGGAGACCGAGTGGAGGAGGAGCCCGCGCGCCCGCCCGGGCACGGCATCCACATGCACGAGAAACTCTCCTCGCCCTCACGCAAGAGGTGCTGCCCTTGCTGCTGCCTGGCTCAGCCAGGGAAAACAAAACTCTCCACAAATCTGCTCTCTTTGAGTCTCTGGGTGGAAAGTGCTACAGAAATCTCTATTTTCTTATGAGTAGGCTTGTACTTCATTGTCCACTAACTAAAGGCTAGAAGAACAGTATTCACATTTACGGGAAATAATTGCCCTCCAGTGGCCTATTTGTTTTCTCTTAGTGAAATGGCATAGAAATGTTTGCTACACTGTCAGTTAATATTGTCTAACTTGATTTTATTCTTCTTTGGTTTTATTAAAAGGACAATAGCAGAATCCAAAAAGAAGCATGAGGAGAAACAAATGAAAGCTCAACAGCTGAGAGAAAAGTTACGTGAAGAAAAGACACTGAAGCTTCAGAAATTAATGGAGAGGGTAAGTTTTCTGTGATATAAAGGGCTGCTCTGCTGCCTTGCAGAAAAGAATTTTTTTTCCACATAGTAGACATATTAGAGATTCAAACTAGTGGTGAAATGAAGTTGTTATCTGCATATGAGTTTACATAGTTTTCATAGCTGACTTGTGCATCACAGCAATTAAAGAAAGCATTATTTCAAATCATGAACTTCTTGACTATTTTATAGGAGACAATCTCAGATTCAGGGAAGGTATGACAGGAGGAGAAATGTGTTGCATGTAATCAACAGAAATGGTAAAACTCACCAAACTGAAGCAGTGTACTTCGAGTTAAACTTAAGGCAGGCTTTGTGTAGGGCATGATAATACTTTATTACTGTGAAGAAAGTTTCAAGGATTAGAAGATTCAGGCCCTGTTGTCAGATGTTGTGTTAGTAATGAATTGACTCCTTGTGTGCAGGAGAAAGATGTGAGGAAATGGAAAGAAGAATTGTTAGATCAAAGGCGCAGGATGATGGAGGAGAAGTTACTCCATGCAGAATTCAAACGTGAAGTGCAGCTACAAGCAATTGTGAAAAAAGCACAAGAGGAAGAAGCTAAGGTGAGTGACTTTGTTTTCAAAGGAACTATTTCATAGCTGTGCTTTTTTAAATGTTGTACTCAGAGTGCTTTGAAGTAGTTTGTGAAGGACAGTGCAGTTTAGACACGAACCCTGTGAGCCATGAAGCAGATAAATGCTGATGTCTAAATGGTGCACTTTTCTCTAATACAACTTAAAATTAATTAGCTGTTGTTAGACATCATGATGGGGTGGTGTGGGAGAAAAGATGGATTGAAAGAAAGAGCTGATCATTATCTTGCTGCTTTTGTTCCTCACAGTGTGGGGCAGCTGTCATTTTTGGTGATACCTAGTCCTCCTGGAAGGACTAGAAGATCTGATGATCAATTCTCTGCTTTTCCAGCTCCATGGGGGAGCTCATTTTTCTTCTCATTTGTTAAAAAGCCATTCCAGATCCAGCATTCTGTGTCCTTGAACAGTAGTTGTGTTGCTGTGTTTTGTACCACAGATGTTGTTGAGCAGCTGGGAATAGACAGAGACCTGCAGTTAGTATGTGGCAGCTATTCTAAATTAAGTATATTTAGTGCTCTTCTGACTTAATACATAATTCCATAAGGCAGTCACTAGATGGATGCTTTTTGGTTTGCTTCCTTCGTACTACTTTGCTGGAATTTTTAGTGGTTTCACTCCAGCTAGCAGCTAAGCACCACACAACCACACACTTATTCTGCCTCCTGTCCCATGGGACTGGGGAGGGAAGAGAGAATCAGAAGTGTAAAGGTAAGAAATCTCATGGGTTGATACAGAAACAGTTTAATAACTGGTTGGGGAAAAATCAGTTCAAAAAAAAAAGGAATATAGCAAAGAGAGATAAGTGATAAGGTCAAGTGATGCCAAAGGAAACAACTGCCAGTCCCTGAGCAGTGGCCCCACACCAACCTCTCCCCCGTTTGTTGCTGTGCTGATGTCCTGTGCTCTCAGATATCCCCTTGGTCCCTTAGCCTTGATACTGTGCAAGCCCTGCTCAACAGTAATTAAAACATCCCAGTGTTGTCAGCACAGTTTCCAGCACAAATCCAAACCATAGTCTCATCCTAGCTGCTGCAAAGAGAATTAACTCTATCCCAGCCAAAAGCAGCGTAAAAGAAATGAAGTATTTTGTTTTAAAGCCTGTTTTTCCCAAGTGAAGATACATGAAACTGTTTCATTATATGATGAGCATGTGTCTCAGCTGTGATTGATGCAGCTGTTCATTTGTGTTTCAAGATAAGCACAACAAAACTGATTGCACTTTTTTACTTAGTTGCTGTTTCTCTCTTGGATTAAAAGGATTTCTAGACTACCTAATTCAGTCTGCCATACATTGATTACTGTTCCATTACACCAGTGTGACTTCTGTAATTGTGCTAACTAAATCACACTTGCCGTAGTTCCCCAGATAAGCAGATGTTTCAAATATTGTGTATTTAACTGTGTAGGATCTGCTGGCTCATGAGGTTCCACTTCTCTGGAAATCAAGGTTAATTGGGCCAGAAGGCTTTAGAGAAATAGCTGATGGGTAGGATAGCTGCAGACCATGGTAACTGTTGCTGCCCAGTTGGTTATCTAAATACCCAGTGCTTGCTTGTTTACTGACCTGTAAAAGCCATCCTGTAAATGGATTCCAGTCAGTAAACAAAGTTACAAACATAATCCTACCACTCTTTTTCATGATCTGTTTTTGTCTGACCATATGTTCTCTCTTTACCTGTTTTATTTAGTGTACACATTGAAGTTCTTTTTAGCTAACCTGTTCTTACTTTTTTTTTTTTTTGTTCTTATGTATGACACTTATGTATGAACATGTATTATGTTTTTCACTGTGGTTGAAAAACATTTTCTTTCTTATTCATCTATGTATACTTACACTTTTTTGATCACTAAGTTCACATGTATTTAAAGTTAGCTCAAAAGCCCCGTTGGATTCTACTAGCACTTGTGCTAGTAGAATTAGTAATTAATTTTACTGATTAATCTATCTGGGTTTTAATATTACACACTTATTACTGTGAAGAAAGCTTCAAGTATTAGAAGATTCAGCCCTGTTGACTGAGAGAATGGACTGATGAAGTCTCGATGATGACAGAATTGAGAGAAATTTTCTGTATTTTACCCAAAGTTTCTTGTTTCTCTGATACAATTCAAATTTTCTTTTTATATTCCACAGGCTGTCTTGGTTAAAACAGACAAAACAATTAAAAAATCATTACAAAGCCTAAAGACTTATTCTCAAGTTTTCCAACTCATTCTGGAGAAATGTCCCTCCAGTTTACTACTTGTAGTTTACAGTTTAATTATCAAGCGAATAGTTAACAAATGGATGAAATTCCCCAAGATGAAACCTATTTCAACTTCTTGGGTCTTTTCTTACCCTTTCTGCTTGTTTTCAGGTCAATGAAATTGCTTTTATAAACACCCTGGAGGCTCAGAACAAGCGGCACGACGTGCTGAACAAGCTGAAGGAGTACGAGCAGCGCCTGAACGAGCTGCAGGAGGAGCGGCAGCGCAGGCAGGAGGAGAAGCAGGCGCGGGACGAGGCAGTGCAGGTAGGACAGGGCTGGAGCTGCAGGGCGCAGTGAAATACAGCTTTGTGTCTCAGTCTGGCTCTGCACATGTAAATGAGCCTTGCTTGGTCGTATCCTATGCAAGCTGTTACAGCTCCAGAGCTCAGTCCCCAAGGGGACTGGGTGCCAGAAGCCAGCTCGCTCTCAGACCAAGGCCGCGGGTTAGCCCCTAGCAAGCAGGGAGATATTCAGCTCTTAGTGATTAGGCAGCTCTTGTGATTTCAGCTTTGCTTGCTAGGTAGCTTTCCCTTGGCCTAAGGCTCCAGCAGGCGGTAGAGAGAGGAGAAGCAGAAGACCCTGGCTGTTCCACGAGTATGGCTTTATTGAGGGGTCCGTGAAGGGTCTCAGCTCTTCTTCTTCCGAGTTAGTAGGGGTACAGATGCTACTTTTATACCCTTGGCCCGTATCCAATCCTGACCAATGGCAAAGGTGTTAGAGTGACCATAAGTGACCAATAGTAGGGTTACCAACATATTGCCTTACATGGCTATAGGGATAGGGTACAAGGTGGATGTCCCTGGAGACAGGAAACTTCTTTGCCGCTGTGTCAGCATTCTATTCTCCAAGGGGCCCTGGCTAAACCTGAGGGGTTTACTACACACATGTTCAAGTACAGCTTCTCTGAACTCCTGTGTGTTTCATGAGTAAAAGATCGATGAGAATTCACTTTTCCCTGGCCAGGAGCGCAAGAGAGCCCTGGAAGCGGAGCGGCAGGCCCGGGTGGAGGAGCTGCTGATGAAGAGGAAGGAGCAGGAGGCACGGATTGAACAGCAGAGGCAGGAGAAGGAAAAGGCACGAGAGGATGCAGCCCGGGAGAGAGCCAGGTAACTTTGCAATTGTTTCTTTGGGTCCCTTCACTATTATCCTCCCCAGAAACTGCACCTTCTCTGCAGCAGCAGTACCTTCCTGGGGTGTCAGGTTTAGGATTTTAAAAAGTATCATTAATAAGGATGCTTGATGAATGGCTTGAAAGAAGAAATCAGGTCAGTCATCATAAATTCTGCATTATGTTTTTGTATTCCTTACATGCATGCACAAATAAGCTGTAAGACTGTATTTTATTATATTCTTCTTAGTTTTATTGCAGACAAGACCTTGTAAGAATTTGCCTTTTTCATATTTCACCGTAGTTTTCAAAGGAAATAAGCTTTATGTACCCATGTTCCCCATTTCCTCCACTCTCCAGAAACTTTTGGGCTTACTGGCATCAATTTGATTTCACATTGTTGTAGACACCAAAGATTACATTGGAAGCACACAGCCAGGAAATCAGGCTTCATTGATTCTGCTGCCTGTGAACTACTTGGTTTATAGTTTTGCCCATAATTAAAAGTTCATAAAGGGGACTTCACATGGACTCTTCTCTCTCTTCCTTTTGAGGTGCAGGGAGGATGAATGTTGGTGTGCAAAACAGGTTTGCTTTGCAGTCTGATGCAGTCTGATATATTCTACTTGTTTGATTTACCAAATTCTCTTTGTATTCACCTCCTATTTCTCCCTCTTTTCCTGCAGTTCCCCTGCCACAAGCATTCCTTAAAACCTTGGTAAAAGTCAAGGTCTTTTCTGTGAAGGGTGTTTACTAATGGCTCTTGATACATTTTTAATGTCATGGCTTGTTTTCTTCAAAATGGTCACAAGGAGGATTTTTTCCCCCAAGTAAAATATTCAGAAATGTATTGACCAGCTTTCATCTTCTGAAATCCTGAGCAACGTCATCAAGAGAGTCAGCTTTCCATTAGAAGTGTAATGAATTCTGGGCAGGCTCTGTAGCCTTTGCTGGGGCTTGATGGACCTTTCCTCATTGCATTGAGCCAAAATCACCTGAGGTTGAGTGGGTTGGAAGGGATCCTTCAGGATCTCACACTCATTTGCAAATACTTAGGAAGATTAGGACTAATGGAGAATTTGGTTATGCTGTTTTGGGAAGATAGACCCTGCATGTGTGAGGCTTCTACATCTTTCTGAAATTTGAGGAAACCCTCAAAGTAAGCAAATGGCTGGTAATTGCCCTACTGACATCTTTGTCTTCTAAGGCTTTTCACAGTTAGATCCTGTTGAAAATCTTCAAGCAGAAAATTTTCCTTGCTCTTTGAGTTTAATCAGTGTTAAATCTGCCCCATCCCTCTGTTACACCCCATTAATTTCCTTATGACTTGTAAGGAGAAGCAGTTTCCATTTGCCTTCTGTTGCTATTGTGTCAGCAAATCTCTGTTTGTTGCTCTAACACTCAGTTTTTAACCCTTTGTACTTGATATTGCAGTTCTGTGCTTGCACTTGTTTTTCTTTTATTTTCTTTGCCAGATACTGGTTACACGAGAGATTTTTTTCTCTTTTTCTTTTCCTTTCTTTTTTTTTTTTTTTTGATAATTTTGGGAAAGAGTAGGAAGGAATGCATGTGTTGCCTTACACTGTGGTGATTCTGCTCTGTCAGTCATTACATCCCCTAATAACAGTTTGAGGTTTCTCTGCCATAGCAGAGTGAGGGCAGGACTTGGGGTCCTGGCTCTGGAGCTCAGGGAGGGATGAGCTTGGCAGGAGTGTGGCTGTCCTGTCCCTTCTGTCCTGGACTGCAGTGTGTGTTGGTGGAACCTTGGAGGTATCACTTTGGTGTTTTGTTGGTTTTTTTTTCCTGCAGCTAGGATTTGGCTTGTATCCTGAAGATTTAATACTGGCTGGAATGAGCAATTTTTGCAATATCTACTTTAAGTTCCTTCAGTATGAGCTTTACCATGTGCATCTGTGGGTGATTAAAACATCTGTATGAATGGAATAGCATACTTAAAACTGACTTCAAAAGCCCCTCTGCCCTTAACTTGTTTCCAGTAAAGCTTTAGTTATAATTTCATAGTATTTTATATTCCAGAGAGTTGAAATCCACAATACAGAAAATGTTGTTCTTGTCAATAGAAATCATAAAACTGTATAAACCACATAAAACTGTATAAAGTATCCTAACCATGGAAAAATAATGCTTTTCAGAAAGGCTTGTGCAGGAGTTGTGTTGATGCTCTATAAATGGAAACTTGAAAATTTTGCTTCAAAGACAAAATGTAATTAGCCAAAGTATGAAATGGTGATAATCTGTTGTAGTTTGTAGCATTAAACAAATATGTAAAAATGCAGACTGAAAGGATTAACTCAAATAAGCTTGTGGTTCAGTTTTCCCTTCTGTACCTCAGGGATGATAACAAATAAAGTACCTAATGCTTCTCATCATAATCTCCTCCCCACCCACCCCTCCCACACCCACAGTGGTTGGAAGAGTTCACTTTTTCTCTCTGAAAGAACAATTTTTAGTGTTTATCATTTGATTTACTTCCTCTGCTGTCTGCTTTCCTATCCACTTTTATATTTCTTGTGGATTTTTGTTTTAAAAATGTTACTTCTACATTCATGGAGCTGATCTTGTTTCTTTCTGTCAGATTTCTGTTTAAAAACCCAGACAAACAGGAATCCACACATGACAAAATCCATTTTTGTTTGGATAATAGTCCTTATGTCAGGCTCTCTAGTTTTGGCACTGAGGCTGCTTTAATTTTGGAATGCTTTTTGAAAAGATGGCTGATGGCTTTGGTTGATTCCTGCATAGCTCAGTTTTACCCAGAGCCTTCATTATGTCTTTGGCACTTCACAGCTGCCAGGCTTCTCTCCCATCACATTTTACAAGTTTTGTTTGTATAAACAGCACGAGTAGCTGACTTTCTTCCCCTTTAGGATTTAGTTGCTCCCTTGGCTCACTGACTACTGGGAAGTTGTTCTTGATGAAACTTCTGCCTGTGGGTTTCTGCTTAATGGTCATGGTTGCAAGTCAAGTTACACCCCTTGTTCTTTTCTTAGAAAAAAAATCTAATTTTCTTCAACAGGGTGATGCTGTTGGTCAGAGTTTTCTCTGGGAGTTTCTGTACTTAAATTTGTACCAATGAACATTTTATAGAGCACTGCCCTGAGTGTTGCAAAGGGGGCTTTTCGCTGTGTCATCTGCTCTTCCCCATTGATTCAGTGGCTGCAGCCCTTGGCTGCAGAATGCAAGTGGTGACAAGGTGTCACAGTCATCATCCTTATGTGGCATCTTCTTGGCTGTCACTGCTCTGACTGGGACTGAGCTGTGATCCTGGTTCTGCTGCAAAGGTTCAAGTGTTCATTAAGTCTTTCAAATGAAAACATCCACATTCTCTAAGTTGTATTTTGTTGTTTTTCTTTTCTACTGAACCATCTTCAACTGCATTTTTGGGTTTTCTTGTTCTGCATTCCAGCCATAAATGTGTCAGTATTATTCATGCTTTACTCTGATACAAATTCTCCCTGTATTTACTATCCTTTGGTTAGAGATCGAGAAGAGAGGTTGGCAGCTCTTACTGCAGCTCAGCAAGAAGCCATGGAAGAACTGCAGAAGAAGATTCAACTGAAGGTATAAATGGATACATTAGTTGAAAAATACATCAATATTTCTTTGCACAGTTCAATTCCATTTGCTGTCATTTGATGTTTTTTCTCTTCGTTGCTTTGTTTATTTTCCATTCAGCATGATGAAAGTATTAGAAGGCACATGGAACAAATTGAGCAGAGAAAAGAGAAAGCAGCTGAACTCAGTAGTGGAAGGCATGCTAATACTGACTATGCACCAAAGCTCACCCCCTATGAGCGAAAGAAGCAGTGCTCGTTGTGCAATGTCATGGTGAGTTGGGCAGAGGGGACACTGCTGGAATTGCAGTACCAACCCAAGGCATGAAGCTACAAGTCCTGCTTCACTCACTTGCACATTTACTGTATCCCTGCTCTGCTTTTGTAAAAAGTGCATCTTATTCTTCTGTCCCTGAGTCAGGTGGGTTAGGGAAGATTTCAAAGAGCTGCAGAGTTGTGGGTAGAATGGGGACTCTGGGCAGTGCTCAGTTATTGGCTGTCTGCTGAGAGAAGCAAGAACTCTGGAGCACCAGATGGAAGGAGGTAGTTTAAAGATAGATTAAAGCAAAGTAAAGAATGTGATCCTTTACATAGCAGGCAGCTGAGCTGGGAACACCTTGTTGTGAGATGCTGTGGGTATTTGCATTCCCTGTGAGTTCAGGGACTGATTGGTTAAGTGTAGTTGGACTGAAATTCACAGAGAAACCACATCAAGCTCAAGAAGTTCTTGAATTGAGTTTGGTTGGATGCTTGAAAGTGTTGGACAGGAAAAGGAGTGTTCTCTTTGTCTCCTCTCTCCCTTTGGTGTCTGATTTTTTGGTCTCTGTTGGAAGCCAAGGACATTGCTTGGCAGTGTCCCAACCTCAGCTGGGGCTCCCTGCCTGTGCTGCCCTCCCTGTCCCAGGGATGGTGGGGGAGAGACTGGGCCAGAGCTGGGAGATCTCCTGCTGATAACTCTGTCACTGCTTTGCAGAGTCTGTGCATTATCAGAGCCCTACATGCCACTGAGCATTATTTCTCTGTAATTGCTGCATTAGGTAAGATTGCATGGGATCACCTCAGGCAGTGCTGGAACAGAAACTCAGGCTCAGCAGGCTGGAGTCTTGTGTACTCACTGAGCTTGCATTTCAGGATGAAACTCCAGTATATAAAATTAGATTGAAGTGAAAATGAGAGCAGAACCTAACATATTTTTTTATCTATTATTACACTGCTGGCTAGCAAATCATTCTGTAATTTAGTGTTAACTCTTGCATAAAAGATGTTTATATAAATTAGCCTGAGGAGTAAAGGAGTAAAGTACTGTGCTTGAATTTCTGAACATACCCCTGACAAATTGGCGTGTTTTATATTATGTTTAAAGTGCTGTTATTTATATATTATTGAATTTGCAAAGGAAAAATAACTATTAAATCATTATCATTACAGATTTCATCAGAAGTGTATCTTTTCAGCCACATTAAAGGGAAAAAGCACCAACAAGCTGTGAGAGAAAACAGTAGCATACAAGGACGAGAGCTTTCAGATGAAGAAGTGGTGAGTTTTCTGCTGTTTTTTCTGTATTACTCCTGGTTTTAAATGCCATTCAGCTGAGTAGCCTATGCAAGTGTTGGAAAAGGAGCTGAACAAAACTGTTTCTGTTAGCTTGGGGATCAAGGCAGACTACCAATGAAAAGCAATGAAAGAAACAGTGCATTGACATACTGCAGGCAATTGCCATTGGAAGTTGATTCTTTATGAAATTGCTTTCCAATTAATCTAAGGCATTTTTCATGTCACTACATTTATCTTTTCATCCTAAAAATCTTATACATTACAGTTGTCAACATCCTGCTGTTTTCTTTGTTTCTTGTTGCTGAAAATCTCTTGGTCCTTTTCTAGGTGAGCAGGTGTGCTATCCTGTGCATCAAGGTCCATAATGCTGAAAACTGTAGTTCTAAATTACTTCAAAATGTAAGATTTGAACTGTTTTGGAAGTACTAATGTTGCTAAGAAGAATAATAGTTTTTCAGTAGCTTCTTTAGGAGAATTGGGATATAGAGTGATTTTGAGGAAGCGCTGAGGATTTTATACTTCACCAAGAGGCTCCTCCTCTGTAGAAAGGGCATCTGCATAGTTGTATCATGTGATTTTTTGTTGCTGATGCCAGAATTCAACTACAGTATTAAGTCAAGGGCTTTTTAATGAGAATTTGGGTTCTGCCACATCCAAAAAATTTATGAATGCCCCTGTATTGTATCTGTCAGGTTTGAGGAGGAAATAGTGTGCCAGCCAGCTCTTCAGCACCGATTCAGATTGAACTTGTATTTGGCAATCTGTTTCTAGCCAGGCAGATTTGGATGGCACTGTCCAGTAGTTCTGATTTTTTCACTTTACTTCACAGTTCTTTTACTATTTTTATTTACTGAAATCTTCTCTTTGTTTTCAGCTTCTTACATCTCATTGTAACATGTTTTCCTTTTTAAAAAGCTTTGGAGAGTTTAAGTCTCTGAAGTACTGGAATCCACAGAGGTGGTTATTACTGAAAATGCAGAAAAAGATAACTGGAGAGGCACAGTAGTCTGGAGGAATAAATATTTGTGGAGTTTCACTTTCCTGCCCCTTCCCAGCTATAGTGAAAGTACCTAAACTGATTTCTCAGTTTCTTTCTTCCTCTTGGACAGTGGTTAGTGGGAGTTGTGTGGTTTTGCATTTGGATTTTAGGTGCCAGCCTTGCCTGGTGTACCTATGTGAGAAATTTCCATACTGCACCTGTTTGCCTGGAGATACCAGCAGTGAGATTTCCCAGAATCTGTCCTGTTGTGGATTGACCTTTTCTGGGATCTCTCTGGCCTTTGCTGGTACCTGTCTGGCCACTGTGGTGTGGTTCTTGCTGGGCAGCTGGCTCAGAGGAGTCTGGGGGAGCACTGGACTGGATTTCCCTGTGGCTGGGCGTGCCACACTCTCCACATCTCATCTGGTAGCTGAGCAATTCCAGTGTCTGGAGAGCAGTCAGGTACTGACAGCTGCCTTTGCACCCAGCTGGGGAAACAGAAGTTCCACTAGAGGGCACAAAGATCCTGATTTTTGTGCCTAAATCCAGGGTTTCTCAGCAAAACATTTTGATGAGCACTTAAGAATGAAGGTTAGATGTATGTATTTCTTGAATAATGCTGAGTGCAAGAGAGAAAGGAGAGAACAATTTTAACTGAATGAACAGCTTGAGAGTTACTACAGCAGATTCCAATATCCTTCACCAGGATGGTGCTTAGCATTTGGCATACTGGCAATGTATGATGCCTCCATTCTTAGGTATTTATATATTATTCATGGCTATATTTCACTTAGTCCAAGTATAAAATTCTGAGCTATATTATTGCAACCTGAAATTTTCCAGGTCTGAGGCCTTCTCTGCTTTTTATTACCTTTTTTTTGTTCAAAGAGCAGTAGTAAGATGCTCATTATAGATCTGGGCAGTGTGGAGGAGGAAAGCAGTTTTACTAATCAGAGCAATCTGCTTTGTGTAGCTGTTATTCAGCGAGCATAGTTAATGCCAACCTCACAACTAAAGCATTCAGTAACTCCTCAAGTTTTGAAATACTTGAGAAAAAAATTCCCAAGTTTTATACAGAAGTGAACCCATATTCCAGGGAGCTTTGTAATAGTCATAGTTACTTGTTTATCACTCATTTCAATTTTTCAGTCAGTGAAGGTAACTCTAGTGAGAACACACTTGTGCTACTTAAAATTATTACTTGTCATCTGTGATGTCTTTAGATTATATATGTCTTGTGTGTGACCCTTCTTCTTTGACATAAAAGATTTTATTTATATCACCTTTGACCTAATAAAATTTCACCTTTAACCTTATGCACTTGACACCTCAGATAACTTACTCTTGATCTTTGACTCATTTTGTGTTCAGCCTCTTCAGTATATTAGGTAGCTGCCTGGAAAGAAAGCTTTTATAAAATTCTAATCTGATAATAGAATTTCTTTACTATTACTTGGGAAATCACAAGATTTGAAATACTTTAATTTTGTCCATATTGGTAGCTCAGATTTAGGTGTCTCCTCAAGGCTTTGGAAGCTGATTGAAGCAAATGATTGTATAATTTTTCTTCACACAGTAAGGATTTTACTTGGTTAATTTGACTGTAAGCAAAAAGTTAAAAACTTCTTAATGGTCATGGACACTGATTCCTCTGGGCCAGTTGGGTGGTAGGAGTTGATCTTGCCAGAAATAAAAAGAAGCTGCTGTATTCTAGGGGTTTTCTCTTTGCTGTAATGTCTATAAATTCTGTAATTTTAGAGACTTTTTCAGAGGTAAAAGCAGACTTCATGTTGGAGCAATGTCCCACTGATTTGGCATTAAGTGCTTATTGTGCTTAATTCCAGCATGTCTGGTGCAGGAGCTGACAACTGGGATTACACTGTCAGGAAGGTGAATTCATTTGTGGATGTGAAACATGCAAAGAAAATAGTTTTGCTATGAATGAAGATACAAAAATGAAAAAAGCATGGAGTTCATTCTCAGATTGTGTGGCAGCTTCATTGCACATCATCCTTTTGGGTTTTCTTTATTTGGGGCTTTTTTAGTCCACAGCTGAAACATTTGTAGCTTTCTCTTACAGCTCTTGGTTTTCTAACAGTGTTATCCTGTAAAAGCAAATGAAGTTCTGTTCACATTGGTTACTTCTTTGTAACTTTGCTTTTGTCTGGCCTCTTGCAGATACATTAATTCACCTAGGTGGTAAAACTGGCAGCAGGCTGAAAATCATCTTCAGTATATTTCTGAAGCTCTCAGAGCTGCCAGTGGCCCACATCCTTTCAGCATTATCTCCAGTGCAGTAAGAGCCTGCTGCCTGCATTATCTCTCTGATAAGTGCCTGGCTGCTTCCATCAAACTCTCAGCTTCTCCTGCTTCTGCAGTGCCATTTTCTGTGCTATTGATTTCCCGTCCCCTCTCTCAACATCCACCTTGCTTTTAGTTCAGCAAAGGATGTAAACAGTGTAAGCAATTTGCTTTCATTGACTTCACTGGGATCAATTAGGATGTTGGTAGTCCTGACTAATTGCTTTGCTGAATGAAAGCCTGTGTGCCACAAAGGCCTCGCTGAAAAGGTGCCTGCAAAAGGCACAGGACAACACCTGGTGATTTCATTATGCTGAGGAGTCTCTGCAAGGACCTTGTAGACGTTTTCTCCTACTGATTTTAGGAGCTACAGGCACTTTTTAGGCACTTTTATGCCCCTCTGCTTTCCCTTTTGCCTTTGCCTTTCTTGTGTCTCCTGGTTTGTTTGGAGAAATACACCCAAGAGCTCCCTTTGAGCCATTGTCCCAGCTCTCTCTGTATCTCCTGGCCTTTAAATGCCATGGTTTAAAGGGACTTTCAGAATATAAATCATGTCATTCCATGTGGTCTATGAATGTTTCTAATAAGTGAAAAGCTCTTCTAAAAACCAGATGCAGTAGATAACTTGGCAGGGTTTGGTTAATTTATATAAGGTACATGCTACAATTTTATGTATTCCAAAGAAGGATGGAGGAATATTAATGAACTGTTGTTTGCCTATGTGAAAAATGTGCTTTTTCTTATCAGGAGAGAAAACTGATTCTTTTGTCATTATATAAAGGCAACAAAGGACTTCTAAGAGGTGCATTTAGATCAAATGAGAACATAATCCCATGATGGAGCAGAGAGGTGATTGTTGTCTGAAGACTGACAGCGTTAAAATGTGGGGATTTATATAAAGACCTGGTTGCTGGAGCCCACACACAGGTTCCTGTAAGAAAAGCTGCTGGCCAGTGACTGAAGCTCTCTGTGGAGAGTGGCTGGGGCTGCAGTGGGCGCTGTCCTGGCCCAGCTGTGCCCAGCTCTGATTTACACAGTGCCTCCTGTGCTGGCAGTGCCCCAGGCAAAGCCCTGGGAGCTGTGCTGTGCCAGCCAGGTGCGCTTGGCAGCCAGAGCTCCTGTTCACAGCACTTGGAAGTTCTGAAAGGTTTTGAGATTTCAGGAGCAAGGAGCTGTTTTCCTAGAGGTGTGTGCTGCTCCCATTATTTCTTGCAGAGGAAACTACTGAGGGAAGAAGATGTGGCAGTAGCTTAATGTCTGACCCTTGTTATTCCTCATCTGTATTTAGTAGAATTTTTCTTGTCTAGACACATGGTGGTGCCAGAATTTTGCTAATTTTTTTTAATACTCTGTGTTTTCATTCCAATTAAATTATATATCACTATTGTTTTGTTGCTTTAGCCTTTGCAGTATTGAAAAGATGCTTTTGTTTTCCTTTCTGAATCAAACTGTTTTCAAGTTCTTGTATTTAAATGAAGAGTGGTGTTTTATGAACTCCTTTGGTAGCCTAAAAAATATGATTAGGCAAAATGCAAAGTAACAATACTAAGCAGGGTCACATTTTTAGTTCCATCTAATAGAGGAGTTGGAGAGGTTTATACCTGTGGGTATGTGGCTTTTAAAAACCATTATACACAATTAATAGTTTTCTTTTTTATTCTGAAACAATCAGATGGATGTTACATGTCTACCTGTGTTCACA